TATTATATTATATTATATTATATTATATTATATTATATTATATTATATTATACTATATTATTATTGCTAGGTAGTTAAAGAAGAAAAAAAGCACATTGGAAGGAAATCTGAAGGATGTGAAGAAGATGCACTGTACCCCATGAAGGCTTATGGAATACCAAAAAGACTAAATTGGCCTACAAGAAAGACCAAATGAAGAATGGAAAGGAGATTTAGCAAAGCAAAGATTTACATAGCCAATGCATTAAAAATGCAGCAGGCACACAGATAACAAGACCTGGCAATGATTAAGAGCAAAAAAATTGATAAGAGTCAGTCTAATTCTTGCTACACCAGACTAAGCTGTAAGAACGAACACCTACAATGCCAGAACTGAAAAGATAGCTATAGATGGCAAATGCCACCTCTGCAAGGAAGCTGAAGAAAAAGTGGACTGCCTACTTAGTTGCTGCAAGAAGATCACCCAGACTGACTACAAACAATGGCATGGCAAAGTAGCAACAATGGTGCACTGGAAGATCTGCAAGAAATACCACTTGCCTACAAGCAAGAACTGATAGGACCACAAAACAGACAAAGTAATAGAACATGAAGCTGCTAAAGTGTTCTGGGATTTTATAATTCAAACAATTACATGCCACACAACACCCCAGATTTAACAACTGTTGATAAGAAATAAAAAAAATCTGGTTAATAGACATTGCTATATTTGAAGACAGTGGCATAGAAAAGAAAGAACAGTTAGAGAAAATCACAAAATATAAAGACCTGCAGACAGAATGATGGTAGCAAATGAAACCAAAGATAAGACCAATAGTGATAGGTCCCTTGGGTGCAATTCCAAAACATCCACTTGAACACCATCAGAATTGACAAAATCACAGTCAATTGCAAAATGCAGATTTACTTGGAACAGTTTACATCCTACAACACTACCTTTAAAATTATTAAATGGTAACATCTCCTGTCTCGGGACCTTGGGAAAGACTCTATAGATGGACAAAAATGCCAAATTCAGTCCAAACATCTGGCTGGCCGTGTGACATCATTATCATTACCATCATTGTTATATGCTTTCCTTTAACTTACCATTACTATTAGTGGTCAGTTTTATCCAGCCAGTTCCATTTTCTCCATTCACCTTGTGATAAGAAAAGCGGTACATTCCATAGTCAGAAGCTGTGACATCCCGAAGTAAAATTGAACTTTCAGAGATACATTCTACACGGTTTTGATAATCCGAACCATAGACTGGCATTTCAGAATCCGCACACTGAATTATAAGATCTACACAGTCAGGTTGTACTCTTTCCCATGTCATTCGATTCACTGCTACATCAGAGTTAGACCAATATTTAAAAGTGACATTTTCTCCTGATTTAGTAATCAAATGATCAACTGACAACTTTGAAAATTCAAATGCCCCTGTTTTGGAAAAAAAAAAGATTAAAGTAAGAAGTGTGAGAGATAGGGATAATGTCATGCATAATGTATTTATGTGCAAAAATGTTACATGCCTTGTCTGCTTTAGAAGCACTCAAAACAGCTGACAAGTTAATTAAAAAACAGTAAAATAAAGCAGTAAAATAAATACAAGTAACATTTAAAACCACCATTTACAATATTCTACATAATTATAGCATCAATTGATTAGAAACATGAGAACCAATTAGATTTTTTGAGGAATGCCAGGAAATATCACAGGATTTTTTTTTTAACCTTATACTTGAACTAAAATAATTGGAGGTAATTATTATATCCAATATCTTGCATGGAAAGTCCCGTCCCATCCCCCCACCCCCACAAATAAGAACAGCCACCAAGCCAGCTAATTTCTATATGAATATTAGTCTGGAAAGCCTGGGTGGAAACTGTGAGGGAAGCTCTCTGGTTGTTTTGGTTTAAGAGTAGTATTCTATAATCTGTTCTTTGAGCTCCAGTCCAGTCTAGATGGTTGATTTTGGATCAACCAAAAAGTCTAAAAACAAGAAGTACTCCAGTATAGGACTCCATACTGACAGTTACAACACTAAGAAGTGAAATGGGTATGGACCAATGTGGAAAGTTCTTCATGCTCCAAAAATATGAAAGAAGGAGAGAAAGGGAGATTATGGCATAATCTTTCAGGGAAAGCAGCGAAAAATTGCTCCTTACTATGTTTCAGATATTGAGTAAAATATTATTTCCTAATTTGGGCTTTAGAAACTAAATGATGTATTGTTGTTGTAATTTGACTCTTACAATTTATTATACCTGCTCTTGTCTTTATTTTTTCTTCTATAGGACATGCTGCTAATGATTATTTTTAATTATAATTATACCAGGTTCATAATAATTGATGGGTATAACGTATGAAAGAGAATATTTGTAGCTCAGGGTTGACATGAGGGGTCTTTGGTGCTCTCTTAGTTTGGTTGTTCCCTTGCAGACATTTCATTACCCAAAGTAGGTAACATTGTCAGTGCTAATAAGGAATGGGGTTTGCTCCCAGTTTTTATTTTAGTGGCTTCTCCTGTCAGTGTTGGTGGGGTTGATCTCAGAGGTTCATTGGTTAGGCTGTTTACTGTTGGCTGTTGGGTATAACTTATATATTAAAATAAAAATGGAGGAAAAATTAATCATTTTGTTTTATTTTCTAAGATGAGAAAAGTTATCACAGGGGAAGAAGTTGTTAAATGTGTTTGATCACTCAGGGGTGTCCACAGGGGAATAAACAAAAAAATCAAGCTGACATCTGCAACTGCATCAGCCCTTCTGACTGTTTTGTCTTTTACCTTGGTGGGACAGAAACACTTCTTAAAAAACATTTACCTAGTGTGGTTGTAAATCATATCAAGTAGACATTTCTGCTTTTAGCAAAACAGAAGCAAAGAAAATGTGTAAAAAGGATGATTTGAGTCAAAGGAAATTGGTGCTAAGAAAGAAGTTTGGAAGAATGGAAGAAAGAACATTTATTTTATGGTTTTTGTTACCACTGTGTTTCAACATCTACTATGTACAAATGTAGAAGAATTTTTTTGCTCAGAAAAATCCTTTCAAATATGTAACAAGGGAGGTAAAGTCTCTTGAATCTATTTTGCATTTGAACATTCTTTTCACAAATTTCTTCTCCCTCCCTTTTTTAATGACATTGCAAATGAATGTTTTCTCCTAGCAAAAAAGAAGTCATAATTCTATGCAGTGAGGAATAAGGAATCATTTTAGGGTGCAAAACTGATGGGCAGGTGAACAAGGAATAGCTTACTCCATTTCGTTCAAATTTCTTTTTCCTGTAAAATAATCTCTCCCTGTTACATGCAAGTGTTGCGAGGCTCCAAAGTGGGGGATGTGGCATGTGGAAAAGAAAGAGACTGCTTTATGTTTTATTCTATGCCACTATTGTAGAATAAAGCACAGTAGCCTGGATTCACACACTGAATGAAGTCATAAAGTCATGAAGTCTTCTCTGTCTGGGAGAAGGGTACTTTTAAAATATGATGAATAAATCTAGTTTGCAAACCATGGAGTTCCCAAGACCCACAAAACTAAACCAAATAAACTGTTTATTATTTGCACTACATGTGAACCCAATCAGAGATGGTGACCATATCTGTAAAGAAACAGTGTATCTGACAGGTGATGTTTTGCTATGCTTTCCCAAACTTGTTTTTTGATAGAACTAATGAGTTAAAAGTAACATTGAATATCACCTAGTCTAATCCCTGGTCAGTTAACCAATTAATAATTTGAAGACAAAGCTAGGAACTTCTTTTTCCTTGGCAGCATCCCAGCTTTAAAAATCTACCTCTGTTCCTTCTCCTTTAGAAGTTATTGACTATCAATGGCTTTGGGTGAGGAAGGAGCTGCCTGAAATTCACTGCAACATCAATTGGAAGGTACGAAAAATTCACCTGAGAGCATCTTCACTGAAATTTGATTTCCTTTCAACTCTGAAAGCAACTATCCAGAATTTGAATTTACCAGTAGCTTATAAAATAGAAATAAACAGATTTACCTTACCAGATTGAACAACGTGTATCGTCTTTTCCAAGATCCCATATGGAAAAGTATGAAAGGAACATAGGTAAAAACCAACATCTTCCTCAGTGGTGTTGCTGAAAATCAAGGTCTTATTGTCTGAGGTAAAATTAGTGACCAAGACTCTGGCCTTATATTTGCTTTCTATATGTAGATCATAAGGTAGCCTGAAGACAGCGATGAGCTGTTTCGTTTGATTCTCTTCCTTCACCCATACCATCTGAGAAATAGATGCATTCTTTGGGCAGACACATTTAAGAGCCATGGTACTGGAGAGTTTCACAATTGAATCCACATGTTTTCCTTCTGCCATTAAAGATACATTGCCTAAAATAGAACATTTTTATTTTGTTAAACAGTGAGTCACAAAAAATATCCACTTAATGCATGCGGCACTGATCAAACAAAGTCTTTTCCTCAACCCCAACTCTTTATAGTTGCACAGCTCTGCAAACCCATCTCCAAAGTTATTACTAATAACAATACGATGAGGTTATAATATTGGCTACAATTCTCCATTATCCAATTCATTTTGAATATAGTCAGATTCACTAATAAGTTAAACATCCATAGGATTGCAACACCAGAAACAAATAGCAGTGGTCTTTTTATTGGAGTAAATTACTTCAAAACTTCATAGATTTTGAAGGCACTTAGCAGGAAGCAAGCAGGCAAAAAACCAACGAGGAAGAAATGTATTAATTAAGAAACAAGCCTTACTTTGATAGGACTGTAGAAAAGCCATCACCAAGAACACAAGGCAATTCATCTTCAGCACAGCTAAAAGGACTGAGGGAGCTTCATCTATGTTTTCTGTGTTTCCTGGTCACATGGTAGGGAGGATGGTATTTTTATCTGAACTAGCAAGACAAAAGGATGCATCACTTTGGGGAACTCTTGTAGTGCAGGGGTGTCTGTAAAGAGACACAGGAAGTCATTTATACAAGTTGTCATGAATTCCATGACTATGTAGGACATCACAGGCTACTCCCCTCCCCTTAGATCATTTCCAATATTACTTTTGTGCTCTAAGTGGATTGATTGACAACCTTCCTGTATTGCTTCCTTTCTTTCTCACAGTTGAGTTTCTCCGTCATAGTGTTTTGAATGGAAGCATTGGCAGCACTTTGTTGCTACCTGTAAAATTGTGCTTACTGATTCTTATGTCCTTCCTTCCTTCCTTCATTGTACAAATCAATCTCTTTGCCAGGGAACAAATAAAGCCTTCCCTTAGTTTCAGGTCTATGGAGATTTTCGGTCATCCAGATAATGGTTGTCCCAAATGTGTTTTTTCAAAGGGCAACTGGACTTCTTTTGTTTTTGCTTGAAGATGTTTTGTTTCTCATCCAAGAAGCTTTTTCAGTTCTGAATGAAGTGAATTGAAGAAGCTTCTTGGATGAGAAGCAAAATTTCTTCAAGCAAATACAAAAAAGTCCAGTTGCTTTTTTGAAAAAAAAAAACACCTTAGGTTTCATTTCAGCCATTTAAAAAGTAAACTAATTTAATTGGCCTCCTTTAATTGGCTGAACCAATAAAACCTAAACAATATTGTCTTGTTAGGCAAGGTGGTCACTGAACGTGAGACATAAATCTTTGTTCTGTATACACAGCTTTTAAAGGAAAAGGCATTATCTTGTGCAAAAACAGGATGATTCAGAGGTTATTTACAATTACATTTTGATGTTTGCCACAGAAAATAACTTTGCATTGTAAGATATGTAACCCACGATTGCTAGTTCCCTGACAATTATGATTATCTTAATCAACACCTGTCTTTAATCATAACTTCTATTTAAATGAAATGTCTGTTTGCTCTTTTTGGCTAGATTTAGGCTACCTAGAATTGCAGTTAGATGAACATTACATTGTTAGAATATTGACTGTTGTGTGGGTGAGTCTAGGACAACTCGGAGCAACCAGCTCACGATGGCCACCTTGCCACCTCCAAGGTGTCTCTGCCAACTCACTACAAAGTCACCACAGGATATTTCCACACAGAAATATCACTGCGGGGACAACTCACTGTGAATGGCTGGAGACAAAGCTGGATAGGTGAGCCCCTAGAGTTACAGCAATAGCACTTGGACTTATATACTAGTTCACAGTGCTTTACAGCCCTCTCTAAGTGGTTTACAGAGTCAGCATCTTGCCCCAACAATCTGGGTCCTCATTTTACTGATCTTGGAAGGATGGAAGTCTGAGTCAACCTTGAGCCGGTGGGAATCAAAATCTGAGAGTCAGGAGAATTAGCCTGATATTCTGCTTTCTAACCACTGTGCCACCACAGCTTATGGATGGTGCTTTATGTCTCCCATTCCATTGTTTTAGAATTACTAGTACATTCCCAATCTCCAACATAGGAAAGTTCATAGTTACTGCAATAGATGAAAATCTGTTAGCGTTTCCCGATTGTTTTTGCTCAGGCAACCAAAGCTAGCAGATCTAATTCACCAGGTTTCCCCTATTAAAAAATGTCATCTTGTTGGACCCCAGACTCATGCCTTTTTAACAACAGCAGCTCCATTTGAAACAACATTTCCCTGGAAATCTACAGGATCCTGACCTTCGTAGTCTTTCATTGGGCCAAGTGGCTAGATGAGCTCTCCTGTTGTCAACATGAGCTTTCTTGATTCATACAAGACTGTCAAATGAGTAGGGTTATTCTTTATCCCTGTACACTGGGGTTATACATTGTTTGTTTTTCCTCTGTGTTTTTAATCCTGGTAAGCTGCTCCGTCGCTTGTGTGATAGGTGGCTGTATCAATCACATAAACAAGTTCTTCCATTTTAATCCAATAGACTAAAGCTGTATATCACACAAGTATAGCCAATCAAGTCAGATGACAATCTTAACAGTATTATAAGAAACAACATTGGTTGAAACATAATTTCTTAGGCTGTATCACCTAGCTGTGAAATGGAGATACTGGGAAACAAGATAAGCATTTCATTGTTCCCATTGCAAAGTTCCTAGGATGATATACAGAACAGAAATTCCATCATATTTAATTTAAAGTTACTCAGTAAAATGCCACATGAAAGGCTCCACTCGGGAGAGCAGCACAATGCATTTTCTGATATCAGATGTATTATCTAAGGACTGCAAAGCAGTGTGCCAAGATAAATTACACCTTGCACTATTCTGCCATCAGAGGTAGATAGCTGTTTTGATTTAAACTTAGGACAGGATGAGCCAGAGGTGGCAACAGCACAAGGATATGATGGTAACATTTCAGCATTTGGAACTGCATGTTTCATCCGATTAACCTTATAATTGATATTTTATCCTTCTTAATCAAATAGCTGTTCTGGATTTTAATTTCTCTCTGCAAAGTCTTGACTGAAACTGGCAAAGAGCCCTGACTGGAAGCTGCAGAAATTCTGAGGAGGAGGAAGGACTATGGGATTGACCTCATATTTTACAGATTTTCAGGACAGCAGGCAATAAAATTGCTCTTTGATGAAAACCACAGCTTTGTCTTAAGTGAAGAATATTCAGCCTGTTCCTACAAGATACACAGCTCAATACATAAGTTTTGCTGCAATTTTTTTTCTGAGAACATTAATTTAGCTTGCTTTGTCAAACAGTCTTTATAATAACTGCCTCATCCTTTTTGGTGTAGTGTTTTTCCATCCCAATGACCTTTTTGTTAAATTTGGCATCAAAGGATGAGGGGAGCTTCATGATTATCCGTATTTACCAGGTAGCATCAAGGGAAGCTTTATTTTCAAGACCTAAATGAGCTTGACTCTTCACAGAGTGAAAGATACTTCAATTCAGGAATTATCTTTTCCAGAATATGCAAAAGCAGCAATTATCATACAAACAAGAGTAATGAAAGCAATATAATCTTGACAATATTGAAAAAAATATATGGAGGTGTTAGCAGTGTATGGTTGGAAAAAAAATGAAAATGGTGATGATGACATTGTAATCAAAGTTCTGCCTTGCTTGATTGCACCATTGTGGTGATTTCGCTAAAGAGATTTTTGAAAACATCTTTGTAGTTAAACCAAAAGTTCCAAAAAACAAGAATTAATAAAAATGATAGTAAAAATGGTCTTGGTCAGTGGTGGGATTCACATTTTTTTACTACCGGTTCTGTGGGCATAACTTGGTGGGTGTGGCAGGGGAAGGATACTGTAAAATCTCCAGTCAGAGGTGGTATTTGCCGGTTCTCGGAACTACTCAAAATTTCCACTACCAGTTCTCCAGAACTGGTCAGAACCTGCTGAATACCACCTCAGGTCTTGGTGGTATCTGTAACAGGAAAAGAAATTGAAATGGCAGTTGCAGCAATGTGTTTGAGGCTCTGTCTGTAGGGAGAAAGTAGGGTTTTGATCACATTGCCACAACCATCTTGAGTTTCGGTTTTTGTTTTTAATTATGATTTGTAAACATTCCTTGAACTGTTGACAAGGTTGAAACTGAAGAGAACATTCAATCACATTTGGTGGCAATGTGATATAACAGTTTCAGATTTGGAGAAGAAAGATTTTGATGAGCTTAGTGATAGATAACTGAACAATGGCAATGTACCAAGGGAGAGGAGGTGGGATCAGATTGCCCTAGATGTAGGCAAAAAGGGGTGCTGCCAAAGACCACCAGGACAGAGTAATAGCTCTGGTTTGTGTCATTGCTACCAGCAATCAGTTGTTTGGTGATGGATATTTCTGGGTCTTTTGTGCAATGCAGGAAGTAGAGGCAACCACATGTCAAATATGCTAGATACACCATTGATGAACAAAAGCTAGATTTACTACCTATGTTTGAGAATTAGAACAAAAATTGAAAGTAAAACAAAACAAAAAAGATGATATCTTGATCGTTAAGTGACATGATAAGATCTGCCCATAGCATTGCTGGAAAAAGTTTCTGATAAAATCCATATTTAATTATTGAATATTGAAAGAGAAATGCAGAAATTGCAGATACTGCTGTTGAGTTCATCTAGTAGTCACATTATTATATGAGTCAGACTTCAGTTAATCTCTGTTAACATCATCCAAATAGTTATGTATCAAAATGGAATTTCAAAAGGAAAGACAGAGCCAAGGTTCTAATTTGTACATTAACAAAGGGGTTCTGGAATTTTACTAAATTAAAATTAAAATTTTACTAATCTAAATTAAATTAATTAAGTTGATCTGAAAAGTTTATTTTAAATTTGAGTACCTAGCCCTTCATCAAACAGGTGAATCCAAGATGATTCACCACAGTATTCTATACAGGTAGTCCTTGATTTACAACAATTCTTTTAGTGACCCTCCAAGATTACAACAGTTCTGAAAAAAGTGACTTATGTCCATTCTTCAGTTAAAATCTATGCAGCATCCCCATGATCATGAGATCAAAATTCAGATGTTTGGCCACTGGTTCACATTTATGTCCATTGCTGTGTTCCAGGGTCTTTTGATCACCTTCACACAAGCAAAGTCAATGTGGAAGACACGTTCATTTAACTGTTGGGAAACTAATTTATCAACCGCAGTGATTCATTTAATAACTGTGGCAAGAAAGGATGTAAAATGGGGCAAAACTCATTTAACAAATGTCTCATTTAACAACAGATATTTTGGGCTCAATTGTGGTCGTAAGTCGAGGACTATTAGAGAGTGAAGCATGCCCAAACCTGAGCCTTTTACATCCATGTGATGCATGCTTTTTTTTTTGACTCCACCTCCCTCAGGAGGCCACTCCTCTGCCATCAATTCATTTCTGACCTAAATGTTGGTATATATGTTTAATTCCTGTATGGGAAAAATATAGTAATTTGGTTGAAGTATGACATGCTATCTTGATGCCTCTGGGTTATGTTTTGCAGCTGATACATTGCCCTTTGCTTTGTTGCAGTTACAAATGACAAATTATCTTTAAATCTATGGTTTTCAGCACATAACCCGCAGATGTTACTATTTCCATCATGCAAAAAATTTCTTCCACAACCCACAGGGTTACAGATCTCTCAAACACAGCGGCCACAATGCTTGCCTTTATTTTTTTCAACAGCAATTATTATAGAAAATGCCATGTTGCTGTTAGATCTTTTTCTCTCGTTTATATTTTTGAAATGATTTTCATTCCATTAAAATATCCAACTAGAGTAACCTGAAATTTAGAAGATGGTTCATTCTACATGTACAACCGTTATCCAGGGCATATTACCTTCCAAAAGAATCCATTCACATAATCCACTGGGATTGATTAACATTAATTGGTGAATTATTAAGAGATACTAAACATGTTCTAAGCTTCCTGTAAAATGGTTTGATTGTATTAAGAAATAAAGAGAACAAATTCATGTTAAAAGATAGTTTGAGATAAATTTTCTGGTGCTCTATTGTAGTGAAATTTAGATCTCAGGCATTAATTTCTATACAGTACCAACTAAACACTACCAATATTTATGGTCTTGCATATGATGCTGATATATTTTCTTATAAAACTGTTTTTTAAAAAACAGCTATACCTTATTTTAAACTTTCACTTCAATGTTTGATTGCGGGAATATGATCAAGTAGAAATTATTAGATGTAGCAGTCAAATCACTATCAATCAATCAAGGAAGCAAGCAAGAAATTAAGCATAGGAAATGGTCTTCCATTTAGTCTCTTTTCAGTGAAACACCTTTTTTCCTTCTTTGAAAAAAATGGTAAACCAAACGGAAGTCTTTGAACATGACCTTAATTCTACATTAGAGAAGTTAAAAAAACATACAAATGCTGGAAACGATGTTTATTGTGCTAAGAAATAAGGTTCAAAGTAATAATTTTAAAATATTATTTATGTAAAGCAAGGCATTCAACAATGTAACCTTGAAAGACAGAATGTGATTGGATGAAGAGACATTTCTTTAATCTCTTATCTTTCAAGAGAAGGAATCAATAAAAAATGAAGGATAGGATTACTTGACTTGAAATCTTAAGCATAGTCAAACAATCCTACTGGGTTTTTTTTAAGAACTATGTAACAGGCTAAACATCTCAGACTTTTTTTCCTGCCACAATTTGTTCATTCTCAAATTTCTCTAGAAACATTTGACTATTGCTGATGTCTCCATGGATCTCCAGCACTTGAGAAGCTGGCTGGAGTGCAGCACCCATTCTTTTATCTCAAGATTGGGTCATTGCCCTAAAGTGGGTGTTGGCAACCTGATGCGGCTCTTTCATTTCTCTGCTGCAGCTCCCTGTGGCCCTGTCGCAGCAGAGGGATGAAATAGCTGTCACCCTGTCGCCATGGCAGTGGCAATGGGTGGAGCCTTAGTGCAGGAGTGAAGCGCCCCTGTACTTGCCTTTGTGCAACAATAGGATTCATCCTTTGTTGTGGTATATTTGCTGTTGCCACTAGCAAAGAGGGCTGGGACAGGACGGGGCAGATCTTGCTGGGTGGGGGCCTCCCCCAAGCTTGGCCTTCCTCCTCCCTCATCGGCGGAGCCAAGAAAAAGAAGGGAGTGGTGTGGGGAAGCACTCCTCTCCCCTGGCCCAGCATCAAGCACAACATCCCAGCGAGGATGGTGTGGGTGGCTGGCCCAGCAGAAGCACCCCCATTGATGAGTCAGATGGTGGAGAAGCCTCGTCCGGCTCACGCAGCTGCCCCGCTGTTCGACACCTTCAACACGAGCTGCTGCCTTTGAAATGTGCCATGCCTTTGATGAAGGCGGGCAGTGATGGGGCTGGAGGGTCAGAAGGCACACTCTGGTGCCCCAATGTGCATTTCCAGTGTGTGCTCCTCTGTCCCGAAGTGGAATTGAGTGGAAGGCAGAAGGAAGCAGGCCCGGATGGCTTTTGGTGTGAGGCAGGGGAAAGGCCCAATACCCAATACCCCATCCATGGCCTGCCCACTGCTCTCACTGTGCCTTGTGCAGCACAGTGAAAGTGCATTTCACAATGGGGGAGACTAGGTCACCTCCTCCTGGAGCCCATTATGAGGTACAGCCACAATGTGACCTTGCCCCACTCACCCCTGGCAACTATCTTGGGGTGGACAGCAGGTCGCGCATCCAGCACCAAGGCCAGAATTAGCCATCCTTTTCCTGCTGCAGCAATGAGAGGCAGTGAGAGACAGATTTGGCTCCGTTTGGCTTCGACTGCTCCCCTCTCTCCACCTTTGCCCAGTTTTGCAAGGATTCAGTGGACGCTGCCTTGGTGATAGGGGGGTTGTCCCATACCTTGCTTGACAAGCGTCTTCGGGGGCACCTCGGGACTACATTTTCTGGCCATTTTGGACCGAGTTGCAGGATGAGTGCCTGCGTGAGTGTGCTGCTGCTTGGGATGATGCTTGTCTGAAGTGTGTGCGGAGGTCTAAGGTGGCAACCTCATGGAACTATGATGTAACAGCCTGACAGTCACTCCTTTTACAATGCAAGGTTTATTTTTGTATCTTTCGTGGCCAAATTTCCAGAAAGAAAAAGAGAGAGAAAAACACAGACATAGAGAGATGAGAGGGAGATGGAAAGATGAGAGAAAGAAAGAGATAGATGGGAGATGCTTCCCATAGAAAATACCAGGAGCCACAAAACTGGGTAGGCGTGGCTGGTGGAGTGTCATGTGACTGGGTGGGAGTGAGTGACATCAAGTTGGCCATGCCCACACAGATTTTGTGGTTCCTGGTGTTTTGTTTTGTTTTCTTTTATTATTTAAATTTTTATTTTTAATACAAACAATCCATCATCCATTAAACAGTATGTCGTCTGGGTACAAATAACTTGTGCAGTAATTAAAATTTCTAACCATAATCATTTACATTAGTATTAATTCTCTACTTTTAGCTTATTACTAATATACATAATATATCTAATTGTTATAACAATCCAATCCAGTGTTTTGTTTTCTGTGGGAAATGGGTCCAAATGGCTCTGAGTGTTTAAGGTTGCAGACCCCTGCCCTAAAGAAACCACACTTCTTTCCACAATCACATTATTAAAACATATTTATTAATACAAGCTCAAACATTGCAAAAATATATATTCACATAATTACAATTTACAATTAGCTACTTCATTACTTTCTTACATCTGTCTGTAACATCATAATGCTAGAACAGCTCTTCCATGGAGATATTTACTATACATTTTTCGGATTGATCTCTCCTATTATTAAGTTGAAAACTGTGCAAAATTTCCTTTTCTTAGTAGATAATCCAATACAAGAGATTTAATATTTAATATGTCATTTTAGTTCTCATGATTTTTGGAAAAGCCAGTCCAGGTGAGGTGTCCTCTGTTAACATGGTGTCTATCAAGAGCTGAGAAGCTGTACAAGTGTTTCCAGGCACTTTATGTGGTATGTTTCTTCTTGACTTTCTTGTGGCTGTTGAAGACCTAAAAGGAAATGCATTAACTTTTAAAGTAACAGATAAATGTCTCAACTGAAAAGAGAAATAAAAGCCAAACTACTTACGCTGTCATATTGTTGTGAATAGTTACAATTCTGATATTCCATTAGTCATAGTAAATTAAAATACATTTTTCATCAAAATCTGACAGCTGAGTTTGAACCTGACCTAGGAATGCCTACACTGACTAGCAATGCCTCTCCAGAGTTTCTAACACTGGTTTTCCCAGTCCTAGCTGGTTATGCTAAAATTTAAACCGAGGTGCCACACTATTCTACAAACCTTTCTTGTTTATTCAATACATTTAGACAATGTTACAATATTTTACATAATACATAGAGCCTTACAAATCTATGTGAATGGGTGAGAAGTGCATCGGTCTTTCATACAAACAATGCCTCATTTGATATTCCCTTCTATCATTTAGAGCAGGGGTGTCCAAGCAGGCAACTTTTAAGACCTGTGGACTTCAATTCCCAGAGCTGCTTGGGGGGAATTCTGAGACATGAAGCCCACAATTTTTAAAGTTGCCAAGAATGGACACCTCTGATTTAGATCATGTTGTTTCTAAACATGCCGATTATGTTACACATAGAAGGGTACATGTTTGAAATCTATCTGTTCTAGAACAGAAGTACTTTTGGCTATCCCAGCAACTGAACATTCCAGGGTTTGTTCATAGTTTGCGAACTTTTAACTCACTGTTGATTTGTATTATATTATACATTTAGTATATCAAATAGGGCACAAGTCAACATTTTAAAAAAGTGTTTATTTTTATAGAAGAGATTTAACACGTTTAATTCTTTTTTTAAAAAAATGGCAATTGTTTTTGTCCTAGAATTAAGCCTCTCTGTACATGAAAATTCTATTTTCTTCCTTGCACAGGCATTAAATTGAGTTGGTGTACACAAGCTTTTGTGTACAACTCATTATGACTCAATGAGAGTGCTGCTTGTGCTAATTATATCAGGGTTTTGTTTGTTTTTGTTTTTGCTTCACTATACAGTTGTTTCACTTTGTAACTAGCTTGGATGTAAATCAAGATAATCCACAACTAGTTCTCTAGAGAAGGCTATACAAGCTGGCTTTTGAAATAATTATCTTGATATCCTATTTTTTTTCTTTTACTGAAAGAAGTTTTATGGCTGAATCAAGAAATAGATGTGAAAATAAATCAAGAGTGTCTCAGAACATGAAATACTCCTAAAGGATATACACCAACCAAATCATAATGCTCAGGAATATCCATGGGAAACCACAGATTTCTCTACTATAAAATGCAATGTTATAGGTTACATCTATTTTCTTCTTTTTTTTAATTATAGACTGCATTTCTCTAAAAGTTTAATCAATATATTGTAAAGAAAAATCTCATTAAACTATGAAAACATATGTAATATTCAGCTCATCTAGAACAATTTAACATTTTTTCCTGGAAAAAACTTGGGGGAAAAAACTTGGGAAAGCTTAATTGGCTTTTTATCTAGTGAATTATCCAAAATTACTTTCCAGCTGTGCTGATATTAGCCTGGCAATTTCCTTTATTTTTACTGTCTTCCAGATAGGAGCTTCACTCACTGGCAACAGCCAGGAAGCAACCTTTTTTTGTTGTTGTTATACTTGAATAATAAATGCAGCTGGATAATCCTGATGCCCATCGCTAGCAAATGCATTCTACCTACAATTTTCATTTTATTACTAACTTTGAAGATTTGCAAAAATTATAGCTAAAACTTTGCGCCTAATGATTCAACTTCCTTGCTTATTTCCCATCCCACTAACATCTTGCCTGTAGGACATACCAGTGCCATTTCCCCAAAAAAGGAATCTCCAAATCATACATATTTCTCTTTATCCCTCTGTCCATCTATCCTCCATCCAAGCAAATAGACTTTAAAACAGGGCTGTCAAACTCGCGGCCTGGATGCATCACACGCTGGCCACACCCACACCCGGTTTAACGAAGGGGGAAAAAATTGTGATATGTCACATAATGACACCGTGACGATGAGAGTTTGACACCCCTGCTTTGAAAAGTAATATCCAGAAATCATAAAATGTTTAGAAAGTTGCCTTTTCCTTTGAGAATTTCCCCCTGCCTACCTGCACCCCCAAAACACCACTCATGCAATCCCAGTATTCTATTCTTGGGCAAAGTTGAAAATTAAACACATATTCACGTATCAAATGTTATTCGTTTGAGATGGAAACTGAACTTGTTAATAACATACATTTCTTTTCCGACATAAAAGCTTCATCCACCCTTCTTTTTATCGATGGATTCTTCAAAGTCACTTTTGCCTGTAGCACAAAAAAGAAAAGAAAAAGAATAATTCAATGTTTGTTAATTCCCTTGTGCTGATGCTGTTCAAATTATTTCGTCTTACTCCTTCCTTGGCAGTGGGCCATGAGGCTATGACATTCAATATGATATTAAGAATGCAAAACATGAAGGTACTTCTGTAAATTGTTTGATGGAGGAGGGGTGAGTGCAGGGTAGAACAGGAGAAATAACACAATAAAAAGGGAAAGTTTTTTTTTTCTTTCAAAAATAGCTGTTTGCAATACTCAGCATAACAGAACGCTCCCTATTGAATATGAATCTGCCTTACAACCAGCACAATACTCCAGAATAAGCATAGGTTTTTTTTTTACATTGTAACAAAAACTGTGTTTTAAAGATAGTTTTATGCTGTGATATACCCATGTTAATTTGCCAAATGAATGTATAATGCAGAAACTTAGTGCAAAGGAAAGTTATTTTTTATGAGACGGAAAAGAAAAAATATATGATTTAATCAAACACATTCTAATGATCACCTGCATTCATAACTATAGTAACAGCTTCATAGACTATGTTCAGAACAGGAATGTAGGAATAAGAAAAATAAATACGAAAGATTTCTGTCATACTCTAATGCAGTAGAGCTTTTTTTTAACCTTGGCAACCTGAAGGTGTGTAAACTTCAACTCCCAGAGTACTCCAGACAACACTGCTGACTAGGGAATTCTGGAAGTTGATGTTCACACATCTTTAAGCTGCCAAGGTTGAGAAACACTGCTCTAATGTAAACCAGATAATGCTGAACCTGGATTTTGACATTCATTAGTGAGTAATGGTTGTAGAGAGTGAGAGAAATAGAATTGTAAAGCTACAGAATAGGATAGATATCTTTCATCTAATAAAGCCTTGATGGAGCTTCAATTATCTTGAACCCACAGCCATAATCTTATTGTCACGTACTGTAGAAAGTATTTTTAAGGGAATAGTAACCTAGTGTTTTTTCCATCTTGAATGCCAGAGAAGATGTGACACTTGGTTGTTGTTTTGTTTTTTTAGCTCTGGAGTATAACAGAATATTTACAAGCATTCTTCTTCTTCTTTAAAATAAGAAATAGTTGAAGAAGAGACAGTAGAGATAGAAATTCCTTATGAGAGAATGAGTGGAAAACACCAAACTGGATGGGGGGAAACATGACCTGACATTCATGGAAGAAAAGAACAGCTTATTTGCAAGATTTACATTCAGAGAAAGATGGTCTGCTTTCATGCATTACATAAAGAAAAAAAAATCATTTTTCTGTGACCTTTTTAATAATAAACATTTGAACTCAGAAAATATAAAGAGAAAGAGAGAGACTGTCTCAAGAATTTTCCTTTTTTTAAATTTAGTTTACTTATACTGAAGAACCAAAATAATTTTAAATAGTATGTTCTTGACTGAAATAGGACCTACCATTTTTGCTGCATGCTTTCATCTGCTACAGCATTGTCTTAGTCAAGAGGTGAGAAAGGGCTAATGGCAGATACATGACATCATTAATTCCTGATATATTATGAGAAACTCATCAAATTTGCAGACGACACCAGCTGACAGGAATAGCCAACACTCCAAAAGTAAGGCTTAAGATACAGAAGGATCTTGACAGACTTGAACATTGAGCCCTATCTAACAAAATGAAATTTAATGGTAAAAAAAGTATGGTGCTACATTTAGGCAAGAAAAACCAAATGCACAGGTATAGTACTTGGCACAATAGTAATAATATTGAAATCCTAGTGGACAATTAAATATGAGCCACCAGTGTGCTGCAGCTGCTAAAACAGCCAACACACTCCTAGGCTGCATGAACAGGGGGACAGAATCAAGATCATGTGAACTGTTAATGCCACTTTATAATGCCTTGGAATACTGCATCTAGTTTTGGTTGCCACAATGTAAAAAAAGATGTTGAGGACTCTAGAACAAGGGTATCAAACTCAATTTCACCGAGGGCTGCATCAGGGTTGTGTTTGACCTCAGGGACCAGGATGGGCATGGCCAAGGGAGGCATGTCCAGCTCAACCTCACTTGTGTTGGGGTTGCCTGTGGTGGTCCAAGCACTTTGCCAGCGAAAACGGTCTCCCATGCTCTGTTTTTGGCTACAACTGCCTCCTGCAGCCCTCTGCCAGCAAAAACAGAGCTCAGGGGGCTGTCTGAGGCCCCCTCAAACTCCGTTTTCACTGGCAGAGGCACCACAGGCCGGTCTTTCACTGTTTCTGGGACAGCCCCGTGGGCTGCCACAAAGCACCAGAAGGCAGGGAAAGAAATAATAGATAGAAGCTAGTCAAGGAGAGAAGCAACACAGAACTAAGGAGAAATTTAGGGTTAAACGTTAGAACAATTAATCAGTGGAACAACTTGCCTCCAGAAGTTATGAACGCTCTAACACTGGAAGTTTTTAAGAAGAGATTGGACAACTATTTATCTGAAATAGTATAGAATTTCCTGCCTGGACTAGAAGACCTCCAAGATCCCTTCCAACTCTGTTATTCTGTTATTATATGCATATGATGCATGCCTCAATTTATGCGCTTGTTTCAGATGTTGGGATATGACTATTTAACGGGGGATTTCTATCATATCATCACATGTGTGTCATCATTTCAACACTGCAGTTTGCTGCAGTTGCCACTGCACCTTTCCAACTCTTATATTCTTTGATTTGCTCAATTATTTCACTGATTATATTCAATGCCAATCAACTGTATTACTGACCATGTTATGAAAATGTAGGCTCGGTAGAATTGTGCTTATATGCATAGAGAGACTGATGCATTTGTGTGTACATTATTATACACATGCGGACTAAGAGATTAGTGCCTAATTGAAAATTGCAGTACTTCTGTATGAACACATCATAAATAAAATCCTCAAGCCTTTAAAACACTAACCTTCTGATAGTTGTGAAGCAAAGCCCAAATTGCAGATGCTCCTATTCTCCGAGCTGCAAGGCTATCACTTTCCAGACAGGCAGATAGCAACGCAACAGCTTTATCTAGGAGGAAGACAAAAGACCGCACATGTATCTAACCAAAGGCTATTATATCACAGTTTCAGCTTCTCCAATGCATTCTTGTGAGTAATTTCTCTCTTCCTGTGATAAATATTACGCCAATGCATATAAAAGTCACTTAAGGCTTATAAAAGTCACTACAATTTCATTTCAAGAAACTTCTATTCAAGAAGCTGTTGCATCGATATTAAAAAATAATCCTGATGGGATATGTGATATGGAACATACATGGGTGTGTATGCAGCATCAGTTGGCAGTTTTTTCACTCAAGTGTGTCAGTTTCTTTAAAAAGATGCCCAGAGATATTCCATGGATCACCTTTTCCCTTTTAGATCTAGGCTGCTGCAGATCCCTATTAAATATTGTAAAAAATCAATTTAAATGTAAGAAATAATGCCAAACTTTCAGGACTTAAGTTACTGGCTATTTTCTTGTGCTAATTATACTGTATATTATACATAATCTACATTTACTATTACATTTACTATATATTGAGGGCTATGATTAAGACACTGATGAGCATTATCCCTTCTCAGTATTAAAAAAAAGTCCTATAATTCTGCTTTCATGCAAGCTTTGTGATTATGCCTCTGGAAATTACCTTCTATTGTACTTGAGTTCTTATTATGATTTTGTTCAGAACATCAATTAGATTGACCTTTGGTATCTTTAAAAGATATTGTAACTGAATAATAAAACTTTTCCTTTCTTGGCCAGCACCATACATTTTTCCATCCACTGTCTTTATTTATAGGTCTTTTCTCCCTCCTTCTCACCTTCAACATAGCTGAGTGATGAAAATCTTGTGCGGTAGTCTACCAGAATAGTCAGACAAAGAAAATCTAGGATTATCTGATTCTAAAACTGAATCTTCTATAGTCACTGAAAGAACAATGTTCACAATAATATTTGAACTCTTTACTCTAGCATAATACTGTAGTTCTGAGCCTGAAATTATATACTAGGGTTATTTTATAAGCTCCAGCTTTCTCCCAATACTCCTGACTAGTTGCAATCTCATCCTGTATTTTTAAAAGGCCCTTAATTGGGAAGAATGGCTTAAAGACAGACAATAGGTATTTACCATTTGCTAGTATCTTGGGTTTGTTGGCTGGACTAAAGCAGATATTGTGCAGAATCAGAAGGATCATGTCTGGGTTGTTTCGGTGTTTATATTTGGCCATCTCTATAAGTTGATCCAAGCCACCATTCAATTTCATGATCATTTGCTGTCCATCTTCTCCAAATGATAAATTCAGTAAGAGTTTGATCCAAGCAATAGCCAGCATGCTGAGGCTTTTATTTCCTCCTTTTGGCAATGATAGCGACAAAAAATTCTGCAGAAAATTGTGCTAAAGTAGGAGAGAAAAAGATGCGATTATTAAGAAATTATTTTTCACAATCCATTGACAAAACATGTTACTCCCTACTTTGGGAAATATTGAGTAACCAATAAAGGAAAATATTTGTAGCTCGGGGTTGAAATGCAAGGTCCTTGGTGCTCTCTGAGTTTGATGGTTTTCCTGCAGATGTTTCATTTCCCAAACTGGATTACATCAGTTTGGGTAATGAAATGTCTGAAGAAAACAACCAAGCTCAGAGAGTACCAAGCACCCTTCAATATTGAATAAGACATTCCACTAGAACAGACGTGTCAAACTCACATTGTCACAGTGGTGTCACATGACATATTGGGATTTTTTTCCCCCATTGCTAAACTGGGCCTGGGTGTGACCAAGGCATGACGCATCCAGCCCATTGGCCAGGAGTTTGATAGCCCTGCACTAGAAATTTTGTTACATTTGAATAAATTAGCTCCTTTTGTTCTGAGTTATCCTAATGATAGCATGTTTTGAGATGAGGAAGTTCTGGTGCTCTAGGTATTGCTAAACTGGATTTTCCAAAAACCTGGCTAGTTGCTGTCAATGGATATTGGGAACTGTGGTTCAGTAACATCTGAGGAAAATTAAGTCAAGTAACAATACTTGAAAATGCACTGCTTTTTCTCAGTAATTTAAATGATGCCATTTATAAAATGAAAATAAATCCTCTTCTACTATCACTGTACAGTAATCAATAAAATATAATTATAATTATTTATAAAGTTGTATACAAAATACATTGTCACTCGTATTTTAATAATATCTGTTGCTTCTATGAAAACAAAACAAAACAAAAGTCAGGAGTTAAAGAATCATAAATAGGATGTAAAAACAATTTGAGATTTTTTTCTTCTTCAAAATATTGTATTTTTTTCTTATGCACAATGTAACAATTTGTCATCAATTTCTTAAACATTCAGTTTAAGAAACACTGCCAGTAAGGAGCGACAGCATGCAAACTCTGGTGTTCTACAAAACATTTGAAGAGCTTGCACAAAGTCTTTAGGAAAAGGAAGTACACTTCTGGAAGTTTGTTTTGTCTAGGAGAAGCTGACACCGACAAAAAAGACCACTGGGAGATATAGAAGCCATAACAGATACTCACGCACTGTTATAACATTGTTATAGCTTCTGCAACTGTGCATAAAATTGTTGCCTGTTCCTACTACAGAAAAAAACCTCAATAATACACAAAATGTTGAAGGCTCTACATTGCCAGATGCTTCCTGTAGATATTTTAAAGCCAGCTATCTTCAGTAATATATATGTCCTGAGCCTGTCAGACATGTGAAATTAAGCATCCATTAATTAATTTAAAAGCCTCCAAAAGGAAACTTCCTTTAGATATCAACATGTATATTAAGCTGCTGTCAGGAAAAGCTATGCAGATAGGCAATTGCTCCAACAAACTACAAGCAAATTTCTGGGCGTTCAATATATCCTGGCTCTACTTGAAGCTGCCAAAAGCTGAACTGAGGGATTTCTTGTACGCAAGCGATTTGCTCAACAACTAAATTTTCTGCTAGAAAATTAAAAAGCAATCCATGTATATTTTTTCCATCTATCAGTTATTCTAAATGGTAGATGGATACAAATGAAATGAAATAGGTTTCTAGATAATTTTATTACCCAAAGTCACAGACCAAATGTAAAGCAGTTATGAAAGTTGTTGTGAAAAATTCGCTTTCTAACTGCAGGACTGGAAGCTGAACCAAAGCATTTTGGGGTAGGGTGGGGTAGGGTAGGGTAGGGTAGGGTAGGGTAGGGACGGGGGAAGGAAGGAAGGAAGGAAGGAAGGAAGGAAGGAAGGAAGGAAGGA